TGGCAACTATTGGATGGCATATGTTCTGTATCAGAAACTAGAGCAGATGTGGTCTATACAATGCAATTTTCTGAAACAGCACCCCAAATAACCAAACCGAATCTGAAGTTGACCAAACTGATTCATAATCCTTTTGGTACTAATAATGGAGAGTAGTCCACCCTGGTCAAAGTGGTCGCTGGTCAAAAAAAAAGGGTTGGGAATCACTGGCGTAGAGCCAGCCCAGACAAGTGAAGGTTAACCTGCGGCTTTAAGATTTGCTCCTGCAAACCCTGTAATACTCTGTGCAAGACTGGGACTGCAATCTAAGAAGGAAAGAGGAATTGAAGAAACAATAAAGTATTGAACATGCCCGAGCGTGAGTGGGGGGAAGAGAAATAAACCTCCACAAAAAGCGAGGGCTGATGCCATGGTGAGGAATGTAAATTGGCTAAAGAATGATAAATTAAATTTGACATACGAAGACACATTCCATTGTGAAGATGCATGCCTGCCCTGCATATAGTTTCTCTGTGCATTTGTCAATACCTAAATCAAATTTCGCCAAGATTAAACTTGTGTAGCTCTGCCTTATTGATTGAGTTAGAAATGATTATGGAAAAATGAGCCCCTGAGTCCCAGATTAAAGGAGTGGCAAAATGCACTCAACAGTCTTCAAAGCAGCAGCTCCCTTTCAACAATTTGGGAGGTGGAAAGCAACGTTGCTGCAATGTGAAAACGGGGCTTCTTCAGCCTCCTTTACATGCTAATGCAGGTTACAAGAATACTCTCTGGATTTGGGGTGGTTGGTCAGTCGTTCAGTCTCTGCTGCTGACGTCCCAAAGAGGCACCATCTCTCCCCCGCCTCAATGGACCATAGTCATCAATAATGGGGTAAAATATGTAATTGCTTATCAGACCTTTTAAATTAAAAATACAATCTCAGTGGAGTCAGGAAAAGTCATGCAATGAATGGGTGGAAATGACCTTTTCTGTAGAGATGACAAACGATGCCTCAACTCCCCAAGCCAGAAAGCTGGACTGTTATAGCTGATATATAGAGCAGAGCAGATTTATAGACCAAGGTTTGCATTGTTCTGTTGTTTCGTTTTCTTTTCAAAGTTCCAAATAAGTTATCTTGAATTGCAAAGAAGGATGCTTTGTCCCTCTGAATTTGGGGCCATGAAACCTTCTGTGTAATCAAGCCACTGCAACGATGTATTTCTCTACATCAAAGGACATGAGCCACACCCATCAAATGTGAAGAGATTTGTAATATTCAGGAAGGGAGAATCAAAAATTAACCAAAACAAATTCTTCTACTACCCTAAGCACTGAATATTGGATAGGTAGAAAAGAACTAAACAATTGAAGGGGGTGGATTTTATTGTTGTGAACTATAATATATCTGTATACGTCTATATGGTAGGCTTGTGCATGGATTCAATTTGGCCAGTTCCCTTCTGCTAATCCAACCCGTCCAGCTTGTTCAGATGGCCATAATGGCAAGCGCTCAGCCTCCATGTTGTTTTCGACTGCAACAGAACACTGGCGGTCAAAAGCTAGTTGCCTTTGGTTACAAGTGGAGTGCAGGAGGAAAGCATTTTGCTAGAAGGAAAAACACGGGGGGGGGGGGGAAGCACCACTTCAGGGCCTGCAAATCAAGAGAAAAGAGAAGATCCTTTTAAGGAAACCCAGGGTAGGATAGGTCCAGGTTGATCATTCTTCCTTCCCTGGGAAGTGGAGATGCCTTCAAGCCTCCTTAAAATGTCTTGGAAAGCTGTGTGGTGTGTTGCAGGGAGAGAGCGCCATGTGCTCACCTGAAGTGCCTGTCTCCTCTAGAGTAGAAACAGCTTTAACTAGGTATTAAAATAGGTCTCCTCTACAGGTGGTATCTTAACTCTAATGCTTTTAATCCAGGTTTTAATGAAGAATATAAGGACAAACAATGAGGGGAAGGGGAGCCTGGGAAGTCCCCCCCCCCAATGGGTTGGATATAAAATGAATATTAATATTTCTGTCCTCTCAAATTCAGGAGGCTCTCGAAAAATGGATCAGGACCCGACTGAAATCTGGGACACCGAAAGAGATCGGTTTACCCAGATTGCACAAGTCTACTGTATTGAATGTATTCATATAGAAATCTATACTGATTCTACCTATGGATCATTTCTGGGAGTGAAAATCCACAGCTCCTGTTTCTTCTTTGGTGACCATTAGTATGAATTTCTGTAGTAGCGACGTCTTCAGCAAGTTTTTGAAAGAAAGAATAATCCATATTTTTATACTTAATTGATGTCTCTCCTTTTTCTTAAAGTGAAGTCCAGGTAAAAGGTAGCACACCACACACACCTCCCCCTTGTTGATGTGGCTGAACAAGAAAACTAAATTAATGAACCTTCCAAAATATTTATATAAAAATGTGTATCTGGAAACATATGCATATCATACATACAGTATAATTAATTAGATATCCCATACTGTTAAGAAAGAAAGAAAGAAAGAAAGAAAGAAAGAAAGAAAGAAAGAAAGAACAGCCCAGAGCATTCTTAGCGTTATGTTTTACACAAGATCATTAATTTTAATTTTCAAATGACATAATGAAATTAATTGCTGTAGAAGCAGAATGCCTCTGATGACAAGAGTAGAAACCATAAGTAATGTATGTGTATATTGTGAATATGACTGTTTGCAATGATTCACACTCCAACCACAGTATAGTGTATGTCAAAAATTATTTTGGACTTGGAGGGAATCCCCTTTGAAGAAAAACTACAATTTCTTGGACTGGAGTAAGTGAGAGGTTTTTTTTCCCCTGCCTTTCTCTGAATATTAATCATCCATTGAAGCAGCATGGGTGAAATTGAGAATCTATATGTATATGTGCCCTAAAGTCACCTTTTGACATTTGGCCCCATTAATTTCATATAGTTTTTTTGGGCAAGGAATACTCAGTTCCTTCCTCTGAAAGAAAACCTACAGCACCTGGGATTCATTGTTTCCAGCATTAACCAGCACTGACCATGGTAACCTTCCAAGATCAGAGGAGATCTGGGGCTTTTATGGTGTTGAGAAAATTGGACATAGTTAAACTGTTGTACCAGTTTGAGTGAAAACAGTCCAGAGCTCAAAATGCTGATAAGGCTCATCTGAGTTAAACAAAGCAGGTGGAGATTTGTGTAAGGGTACTCCCGAGAAGCCATTGCTAGAAACTGCAAAAATCAAGACCAAGATATCAGTGCTGATGGAGATGCTTTCCATGAGAGGGACCAAATGCTACTCTAGCCCACAGTGATATGATGGGGCAGTATGTTTTCCCCTAGGGACAGGTACCACATGGTATTCCATAACTGTTTCCATTTTTCCTTGGAAAATAACTGTGGATGGGTAACTAGTAGGCTTGAGTAACCACGGAAAAATTTGGTTCTAAACTCCCTCTCCCTCGGTTGTTGACTGTTGGTGTGATAAAACACACAACAACTATAAAACTTGCACTAGACATGCGAAAATAATTACGAAATAATTACAAAATAATTACAAAATAATTACAAAATAATTACAAAATAAATTGAAAAAATTGTTTCGAATCTAATTTACTCCTCACACTATTCCTGCATGGCTCAATATTGGATCGTAAGCTAATTTAAATACAAATTAATAACGAATTACGAAATTAACGAACAAAACCGCCCAAGCCTAGTAACTAGGGTATCGGGTCCACAAACCACCACTATTTGAGTAGCATTACTTTGTGCAATGTTTTGTATCACAGTATGGAAAGCATAATACAAATAGTTTTAAAATATCTTAAATCTCTTCATCAATATTGTCCCTCTATCTCTTCTCTCAGTTCTCAGTTCTGGGGGAAGAATGATATCCAGAACATTATTTATTTATTTATTTACCATATTTATATACCACCTTTCGCAGCCCAAAGGTGACTCAAGGTGGTTTACAGTAGGCAACAATTCGATGCCCCAATAACATAAAATACAATTAAAACATGTAGCATATAATATTAAAAAAACCATACAAAAGCAATAAAAACATAAATCATCAGTGTCTCCTTACTAAAATCATTTTCTAGTCGTGTCATCCAATTATTCCGTAATCCTATATTTACCTGTTACACTGCATTTGTGCAAGCAGGTTTTGACTTTTTTACAAAATGTCAAAAGGGTGGGGGCCAATCTAATATCCCTAGGGAGGGCGTTCCACAGCCAAGGGGCCACCACTGAGAAGGCTCTGTCTCTCGTCCCCGTCAGACGCATCTGCGAAGGAGGGATCAAGAGTAGGGCCTCCCCAGACAATCTTAAAGTCCTAGATGGTCCATAAGGAGAGATATGTTTGGACAGGTAAGTTGGGCCTGAACTGTTTAGGGCTTTATAGGCTAAAGCCAGCACTTTGAATTGTGCCCGGTAGCAGACTGGCAGCCAGTGGAGCTGGTGCAGCAGAGGTATGCTCCCTGAGCACCGCTCCTCTTAACAACCTGGCTGCCACCCGTTGGATCATTTGAAGCTTCTGAACAGTCTTCAAAGGCAACCCCATGTAGAGTGCATTGCAGTAGTCCATACAGGATGTAACCAGAGCATGGACTACTATGGCCAAGTCAGATTTCCCATGGTATGGGTGCAGCTGGTGCACGAACATGTGTTCATATGTGCATATGTGCAGATCCAAACTAGAACGTATTCTGAATTGTAAACACTTGGGCAGCCCCAGTCTATAACTTGGTGTTTCTCTTAATGTGCCATAACACAACAATATGAATGTATACCAGTGTATACTATAACAACAGGGTTGAATAGTAATGTCAGATGAGGAGACTCATCTGACATTACTATTCAATGAGAAATATATGAAGAATGTTCTAGACTCAACTAGTTCTTCCTTTCTTCTTCAACCTTCATATTGGTGGAGATCGGAATGACTTCCCCAGGAAAGAGAGCTCATATGCAAGAATGAGGCTGGTGCTGTGATTCATTGTCTCTTTTCTCCCCATCCCTTTGAACTCTTTTTAGCAGACAGACGATGCAGCACAGACCGACGGCCAGCAACAGACACAATCTTCTGAAAACACAGAAAACAAATCACAGCCCAAGCGGCTGCATGTCTCAAACATACCCTTCAGATTCCGGGATCCAGATCTCAGACAAATGTTTGGGGTAAGCACCACTTACTTTCTTATGGCAATATTTGTATACCCAGCTCTTCTTTGGCAGGACCTTTCCTATTATTTATCCCTCCTTTCTTTTCCTCCTGACATTGATAAACTGATTTAATTCAAAATTTAATTCAAAATTTTTATAACAAGATAGATGGATAGGGATATAGATGGATGGAGAGATGGAGAGAGAGAGAAAAAAATGATAGATGGATACTGCATCCAGATTCTTAGTTGTCTTCTCCATCTCCCTTGACATCATTATGAGTAGGCAAGGAAAGTCAACTAAATATCTCAGAAGGTTACAGCCTCCAGGTCATTGACTCTCTTTCTTCTCAGAGTTGCATACTATGGGGAAAGGGGGAAGACTGCTGTCTCCCTGCCTTCTCTTCCATCCTCTTGATGACATGTGGGGGCAGAACAACCCTCCCCCCCATACACACACCACTGCCAGATATTTTCTCCCTGTGTGAGACCACTTTGAAAACTGCTCAGTTTTAGAAGATGTCTAGCAACAGGGAGAAACTTGATTAAATTATTCATTCTCCATTGTGGGCATGAAAAATTTAACACAGCACATTCAAAAGAGAGAGAAAGGAAGAGAAGTGTGCTACATCTTCACAGTGACATCCATTCAGCTCTTACTGGGCAGGAAGTCTCATTGCATAGCATGGGGATTCCTTTTGAATAGGGCACACAATAGATCAGGTTGTACAACTCTAATGGATTCATCTCCCGACTAACATTTGCTGGTTTACCAGGCGCTTTTCCATTTCTTCCATCCCTGGCTGTTCAATGTGTGCCTTTTGATGTAGCAGTATTGTTTGCATTCTGACATTGGCGTCCTGGTATTCCATACAGCTTTGGGTGGCTTTATTAATGACACCTGAAATAACCAGACTTGACAGTATGAGTGATGTATTGGAAAATGTCACACTGCAAGTGTGTGTCAAGACTTTTTTCCCCAAAAAATCTCTATCTCGCGTTAATGCTACATGATTCCTAGCTTTAGCAGCTGACTTTCACTGAATTCACAACCGGGAAAAGTACCTAAATAGGCAGTAGGAATCTGACATCCTCTCCAGATAAGTATATTAGGACTTCTGGCAAGCTGATAGTAGTAGTATGCTCTTCCAGCACAGGAGTGGAAAATAAGATGTTCTCCAGACATTGACGAGAAACATGTTGGTGTCTTACACATGTGTATGGTCCACTGTTGGACTGTCATTGTCATTGGCCTTCACTAGAATGGTGAAGAATCATAGAATTCTACATCCTCATCAGATGGCCACAGAGGTCACTCTGCTTCATAGAGGGACATGGATAATTTGGTGCTCCATGCCCCACATAGCCCAGCTCCAGCCAAGGGTGATCATGTGGGGGAAAACATGAGTGTGCAGCTCCCCCACCCCACCCCCATGCATTGCAATGGCAACACAGGAGCCCTCTTGTGTTGCCCTGCTGCCGGCATGCACCATCTCTGCCCTACTTCACCCATGAAGCCAACGAGGCTGGCCAGCTCAGTGGGTAAGTGGAGCTAAATTGGTGCATGCCCCCAAATTTAGCCCTGTGTGATGAGGTTACTAGAGTTGGAAGACACCACAAGGGCCATCCAATCCATATAGGAAAATACAATACTATAGTTCAACAGTTAAAAGGGCCCTCCATTTTCCATCTCTGTTCTAAATAAATTAGTTGCTTTCACCAGTGTTATTCTGGTGGAGAAATCCTCTCTTTAGCACGGGTACTCTAATCCACTATATATATGCATAGTTATTGCAAATATGTAATAGAAATGAAGAATAAACATTATGTTTATTAAATAAACATGGTGGAGTCATGCTGCGGACAACTCTAAGGGAAACGTCCTTGTGTATATGCTACTCCACTTGCATAGAAGAAGCAGATAGTGACACAACATTTCCTTTCCTGTATAACACTATAATGGAGCTCATTCATTAAGAAGCGATAGTGGAAGATGCAGGGGAGGACTTAACTCAGCACTTGCACTATGGAACTTGCTACCAGAAGATGCAGAGTGGCAAGTACACTCATCCTTCCACATTTGTGGGTTTAATTTTTTTGCGGATTTGATTATTTTTTTTCTTGAGGAATGCTTAGGTCCTCCATTGCTACTCTGTGGCCAATTTCCATTGGAAATTCTAGAGCCAATTCTCTAGACATTAGTAGGTCTTCCAGAGCAAGGCAGTTGATTGTAGAGGCCTCTATCAAAGTGGAAGTAAACACTGGAAGACTTAGACACTCCTAGCGAGGTATTGTTCTCAGATTTTATTTGCATTTTTTAACTTTCATGGTGATTCTGTGCTCCTAACTTCAGCAAATGTGGAGTGATGACTGTACATTCATGAAGGATAAAGCTCGCCATGACTGTTGGCTGCAGTAGATATGTGATACTTCCAGTGATGAATCCGTTCGTTCTCATTTGAATTAGCCATGCTTCAACTTGTAATTATCAGAAATCTTCATGTGCTCCTAACATCAATGTGCCTAATGATGTTTTTGCTAATGCTCATGTGACCTTTTTCTGTTTCTTTACAGCAATTTGGTAAAATCTTAGATGTTGAAATTATTTTTAATGAGCGAGGCTCAAAGGTAAGCGATCTGATACACCTGTGGCAATGTTGAATGTATCTGAAGGAATGTAATACAAACAAGAGGAAGCAACTGCGCTACTGTAATAACATTTCTCCTTAAATATCTACTTTAACAGAAATACTAATTGGGCTGCACAAACCCCCTCCTTTTCAACTCCACCACCAATACACACATTTTTAAGTCAATTTCCCAAACAGCATGAAATTCATTGCTCTAATTGCAAATCCTTTAAAAAGGGATTCTTTTTTTAACACCGATAAACTGTCACTAGTTAAGTCAGAATATTGCTTTTTTGCTTTTAAATATAATCAAGTGTTGTCTGCGGATTCTCTCTCCCCTACCTGATAATTGCCTTACTCATTTTCTGAAATTAGTTTGAGCTTGCAGGGGAGGAAGGAAAGGTAGTTAGAAGAAACATATATTTTACTTCTGAAATCGAAGCGAGTCATATAATCTAATATAAGATGGAGTAATTACTTGATCAACTGCAATGATTCTTGGTTATGAAAGTGCAGGTATTTAACTAGTTAGTTAGTTACTTTATATACTCATGCAGAAATCTAGAAATTTTGGGTCAAAAAAGCAACTAAAAAACTTGGGTCGACTTATTTACAGGTCAATGTAAGTATCATGCCATAACGTTCATGAAAAAAGGAAACATCCCCATCCCTAAATACAGTGGCAAAATACAAGAGCTTAGCCCATTTTAAGGGAATCTAAAATAATAATAATAAATAATAAACTTTATTTATAGCCCACCACCATTTCCCTGAAGGGACTCGGTGTGGCTCACAAAAGCACTCCAGAGAGCCACACATAAAAATAAACAACACATAAGCATAAAAACAAAAACAACATCAAATTACAACAACAACAACACATCCAATGCACATAACACCACATAATAAAATTTTAAAATTTCTAAAATACAGTAGTGCCTGCGGATAAAACTGGTTGTCTTCAATTAACAAGCTAAAGGGTTGGAGTGAACAATCGGTCCTCACGTGCAACCATTGCAGACTACTCAAGGTCAAAGGCCCATTTAAAAAGCCATGTTTTTAGGCTAGACTTAAAGGTTGGAAAGTGACATTTCAGATCCAGGGAGCCATCACCAAGAAGGCCCTCTCTCTCGTCCCCACCAACAGTACTTGGGGCGGTAGTGGGACCAAAAGAGGGGCTCCCCAGCAGATCTCAGCCCATGCTGCTCTTATCCATGGCAGCAGTTCTGGTCTTTTTGAATGCCGGGGGGGAGGGGGGGGAGATGGCAGTGGCAGATTGGAAGAGTTGACTTTTCTCCTCTCCATAAAATGACCCTCAATTTTGCCATGATCATCACAAAATCTATGCAATACTTAAAATTTCCCAGGTGCTATTGAATTCAGTGTACTAGCTTCTCTAAGGATGATATCACAGTGTTATAAAGCAGAGGCACTAATTTCCCTATTACCTGGTTTGCTCCTGCAGAATTCCAGGAAATGTAGTTTAGGAAAGCCGAGGACCTCGCTAGCTGAGAATTCCAATGGCCTGCTGTAAACTACAATTGGATCATTCTATCTCCTCACTGCAAGAATTTAATTAAAAACAGTGAAGTTATTTTGTCAAGACTTGTTCTAGGCAAAAAAAATGCACTTTTTGCTAAGAAAACAGAATTTTCTGTGCAGAATAGTTTTTTTCTGCAGAAACCTGCTTTCTACATAGCAATGCTATAATTTGCATAGAAAATGACATTTTTGTAAAAAAAATGCTTTTGGGTAAAAGAAGTCCCCATTTCCAAATATTCATCTCTGTCTAGGATTCTCCTCATCACACTTTTCCTGACATGCATAACACCCAATTTTAACCATTTTAAAACTGTTTATTAGATGACCTGCTTATGAATAAGATCAGCTGGATGCCCAAAGCCTCTCCCTTTTTTCTTGCCCATCCCAGTTCTTTCCCCAATCATAGATTACTCAAGTCATTGGTCCATTTTGCATTGACACTGTCCTGACTAGAAACATGTGAGGGCACGGGGATCAAGCCATCATTGTTTGGTACCCACTCCAAAATCTTCAACAAAGAATCTTGTTTCACTACACTAATTTGTTAATATACCAATATTACAGAAATGCAGTGGCTTCTCTTTTGATGATACAGTTCTAGAAGAGGAAAGCAGTTAGTTTGATATTGTCCTTCTCTTCTAAAAAATGTCATTATATTTTATTGGGGCCGAGGGGGGGGGGAGTTTGTAGAGAAGAGAGTTAAAACAGATTTTTAAGCATCCTTTGTTTAGAATTGTTGGATTGGACTACGTTGATGCTATGAATATGTTCTGTTTATCTCCCCCTTCCCGTAATAAGCGAAATATCCAGTTTTGCAGTTAGCTGTTATCTGGAAGCTACAAATGCAAGTGCAAATCACTTGGAGCATATCATTTTAAAATGGTAGCCAGGCCAGATAGCATGAATTGCTCAAAGCAGTGTGCTAACTAAAAGGGCAGAGTGAATAGTTCTGGAATTAATAATGTGATATTGCATTTTGCAATGTGGATTCAGTCCTCCCTCATTTGTAGTTCTATGTGTTCTTTGGCATATGGGCATGCAAGCATTTCTTGTCCTAGCAGTCACAACTGCACCATTAATTTCATTTCGGGCAGCAGATCTGAGCATCATTTTCATAGTGGTTCTGCTTAGAAACAAGATCTATGGAAAGTCTTGCAGCGGTTCTCCTGGCATGACTGGAAATAAGAGGGTCTTGCAGGTCTAAGGTTAGGTTTGCATAGCACAGATAGACATTACACAGGTGAAAACAGGGACACATAATAGAGTTAGCAACGAGGTAGAACAGATGAGATTGGAGAGGTTGCAGCAGTTTGTTTTTTTCTGACCATGCTGGGAAGGGCAAGATTGTGCTCTCTCCTTTCTTCTCTCTGCTGGGATAATGATGTGCCAACTAATTTTGTGCTCTCTAGGAAGGCCTAGGCCCTCCAGTGCAATTCTATGGTCAACTGCTGCCAGCATGACACTGGAGGACCTAGAGATTCCAAGAGAGACCATATCAATGAAATCAGATGTGCAAAAGCTAAACTTGCAACTATAGAGCGTCTACTGCCTCTGTATGTATTCCTGTGCATGTATTTACATTGACAAGTGTGTGAAAGAATCTCTGAATCCTGTTAAAAGTCCTTTTCTGAAGGAAAATGAACAAATATGATCTTGTGAAGGTTCTTGTCTTAAGGGACTGTAGTTCTAGATCTGATCAACTTTCCAGAGAATTTCCAATTTGTTTCTTCTCCTCTGAAAATATTTGTGATCCCTCCTCAGGCATGGGTAAAATACCAGTTCTTGCCTCTTGACCCACAATATTACAAAATAGCTCTGCTGCCTCCTTTGAAATGGATGGGGATATTTCTTGATAACTTTTGGTGCCTATTTAAGAGCTTGCTCCAGTGGCTAAATTGAAATAAACCACATGTCCTTTCCATCATCCGACCATACAGGTTCTTGCAGTAGCTGCATGGAACAAGTCATTTGCACCAAAGGTGCAATGAGTGTGGAACCTGCTTTGATGAGCAGCCTTCAAGCTTTATGCGGGTTTAAGGAGAGGTTGGACATGACTTAGATATCTGGAGCCATACATTTTGGCTTCCTTCCATTTCCTTGGTGACTGCAAGAACCAAGGTTTGAATGAAACAAAGGACTGGGTTTGCGTCTGTATCCACCTAGAGAGTATCACTTTGAGCAAATTGTGTTAAACATCTTGGGGTGAGAATGGACTCATTCAAACACAGCCTTGTCTATACATCCCGAAATGCAATGAAGTGTGGGAGGAAGGCTTAGACACACTCTCTATCAACCTTACAGATCATGTTTTGTGATGGAGCGATGACACCAGTGGCTGTTTGTGACTTCCATGTCAACAGGATGTTGAGTCCTCATCAGGTTTTAATCCAAATGATAAACATTAGGGCTGGGCGGTTTCGTTTCGTTAATTCGTAATTCGTTAATAATTCGTTAATTTTTTCAGTTACAAAACGATAACAAACCATTCTGGAGCAATTATTTAAAAAAAACGAATTTTCAAAAACGTTTTGTAAATGCTTCGTATTTCGATATTGTATTCGTTTCGTTATTGTTTTGAGGTCGTTTCGTTATTATTTCCGCATGTCTGGGCCAGTTTTATGGTTTAATTAGTGAAAAAAAATTATAATATCACACCAACAGTCAACAACAGAGGGAGAGGGAAGCTTCAGAAGGTTTTGGAGGTTTTTTAGCATATTTCGCGGTCGCGTCCGCCATTAACGAATCGATTCGTTATTGTTTCGGAAATCGATTCGTTAATTTTTTACCATTTACGAAATTTCGTAAATATCGAACTTTTTAAAAGGAAAATTTTGTAATTATTTTAAATATCGAAACAAAAAAAACCCCCAAATACAAATCGATTTTAGAAACAAATTTTTCGTTACCCAGGCCTAATAAACATGGTATCCATAGTGCTGAATTTATTGTGGATATGCTCTTTAGTGTTTTGGATAGTACCTTTAAAGTTCAATATAAAAACTAGGGTGGATTGACTGTTCAATGACATGGAAACCACAAGATGTCACTGGTAATTGTTGCTGTTAAAATCATCCTATCCATGGGGAGTAGGAGGTGAATTCAGCTGAGACCTGTTCCACCACTTCATTGCATGTCCAACATGCATGGCAACCCTCTGTTGAAACTGAGTCAATAGTTTCAGAATTATTTGTGTACATTTTATTCCAACTAAATGAAGGAGACAAATAAAAACAATGTCTAGTGGAACGTTGATCCAATCATTTGCATTTCTGCATTCCGTTCTACCTTTGTTCATATCATGTAATAGCATTTGATTCTTTATAAGAGTCAGGAAGTCTATCGTTTACTTCTACTCCCAATTTTGTTCTGTTGGCAGTTCTTTAGTTTTGTTTTTATTTTTGTTTTATTCCGTTTCTTTTTTCCCCCCTCTTCCAATGTTCTTTTTTTCTTTAAGGTCAAAAGAATGAAACGTTGTAGATTTCACCCCCAAAATTCTCAACGACCCTAGTGTTGCATGCGAAAAAAAGAGAAATGTTTCTTTGCTCCACAATGGCATGTTCTACCAACCAATGTTCTAGAACAGGTTTGCATTTCGTGTTGAAATTTGTTGGATATGTTTTCTTTTACGTTTGTGTTTCTTATGATTTCATTGAGCCAACTCTGCATGACAGTTACAATAGTGGTTCACATTCTTTTCTCACCATCTCCTTTCTTTAACTCCCCCACCTCCACCCCGACATGATGACATGGTTCCATTGATCTGGATTTCTTTTCTTTCTTTTTCTTTTTCTTTGTTAGATTTCTTTTCCTCTATAGTGATAATTTAGAGACAGAAACAAACAAACAAGCTATAAAAGAGGGAAAATGGTATTTGGTGTTCACTCTTTGATATTTTTTCAGGAGACATTCTCTAACTGACGAAAGAGAGCAAAGTTGTTCATCGGTCTCTTTGTTAATTGCACATCTCAAAATGATGATGATGATGATGATTATAACATATCTATATATCTATATTTACTTATAATTTGCATGTTGCAGAAATGAAGAAGGAACGATGAAAACCTATTAAATTAAAGAGGGAGAGAGAAAGAGGGGAGAAAGAGAGAGACAAAGAGAAGGAGAGAGATTGACAAAGAACATAAGCAAAGAAGTGGTCATTGTCTGAAATAATGATACGCATGTTATTCTCCCCCTTCTCCCACCTGCATGTAGGGATTTGGTTTCGTTACTTTCGAAAATAGTGCTGATGCGGAAAGGGCGAGGGAGAAATTACACGGCACCGTGGTAGAGGGCCGTAAAATCGAGGTGCATGTTCAAAATATTTTCCTTTTCATCTTTTTATAAATGTCTGCCTCACTCTCATTCGTTGTTTCAAAGGCATCATGAGTGTCTCTGGTGTGCTTCGACCTTTCCCTCCCATTGTTTTATTTTTGAAATATATTATATATATACATATATAAGTATTATATGTATATATTTATTTATATGTATGTATATATACACTTTTATGTCTGTGTGTATATGTATGTATATAAATAAAAAGAACCTGCCCTCCCCTTGACTTTACTTTTTTTAGATTTTTTTTCTTAAAATAAGTACTTTTTTGTTTATTTTGGTTCTCTTTCTCATCATAACTTTTGTTGAAAGTTGAATGACAGATGTGTGGCAAGCTTAAATTATTTTGCTGTGAACTGAAAGGTTTTGTAATTCAATGGGTGCAATAGATTTTTAAAAACATATATAAAATTGGAAATTGAAAAACAAAAAAACTCCAAAAGAAAGTGCTAAAGCCAAAAGGAAAAAAAAGAGAGAGATAATATTTGGTTTTTGATTTGTTTTGTTTGAAATTTCTTTTTCTTTCTTTTCTTTTGTTCTGCTTTGTTTTTCCTCTTTTTTTCCACTTCAGGGTTGATGTGGGATTTACAGTGGCTCTGAACAATTGGGCCAATTTGGAAAATGGAATCAGTCCTCTGTGAAAATAATTTTCTGAAAAAATCATTTTGAAAATTCAACATATGTTTTAAAATGCTTATTTTTAAAAAAAATGAAAATATAATTCATTTTCAAAACCAAGTTAAAAACATTTTTCAAAAAACAAACAAACAAAATGTAACTTTCAACGAATATCAGAATGGGTTACTTCTAATGGGGACGAGTTGAGATCCAGCTGTGTTCTTCCAACGGGGTCTAACGGTACTAAATTTTGTCCCCCCAAAAAGTAAGTCCATCAATATTATTTTCACTCCACCACTGTATCCCCTTCGACACTGCTGGAAGAATATTTGTTAGAATTTTGAAAGCAAGAGGGAGAGAGAGGAAAAAAGAGAGAGAAAGAGAAAAAAATACCAATTGAAAATGCTGTCGTCCTTTGAGTAAGATGTCGCATGTTTTGCCTTCTCATTTTCCCCCCTTCGACGGTAGCACTTAGGGCCCTCACCAAAATCTCAATAACCATGGTAACTGTATACATACCCCATGCTGGCGATGGTGCTGAATGGTAAGTGGAGAAGTCCATCCGCCGTTTCACGTCTCTTTTTTTAAGCGCTGATATATATCTATATATACCACGTGGATTTTTTTGACTTGTCGTATTAAGTTTTCTTGATGCTCTTCTCTCTATATACTTTTTTTTCTATTTATTATTATTATTATCTCGGTAACGCCTGTCAAACTGAGTGTCCGTATTAAAGCAAGCCTTGGAGACACTGATTGGATTGAGGATATGACTTTCGTGCACATCTTACTCAGATTGTTAACTCCATATTGTGTTAAATAATGCACCCTCTTTTTATCCTTTCGTTAGCTGTGGTTTTGAAAGCTTGAATGATTTTGTTAGTTTTCTTGCAATGAACAAAAAGAGGCTCATGTTCCCCCCAGTGTTGAATGCTACATGTTGCTTTTCCAATGGTACTCCTCGGAAAGGGTTATGTTGCGCACTGCTAAGATCCGTTTGTCTTTTTGTTTTTTTGTTTTTTTACTTTTCTTCAATTTTGTTTGGACCTTTGGTTTCTTCCCTTGTACCTTGTCTTTCCCTTCTTTCTACTCCACTGCATGCTCCTTCATACAATTTTTTTCCAAAAAATATTTTATTGTTTCAGTGTTACCATGGAATACCAAAAAAGCATGTTCTTAAATCTTAAATGGTGCAAAATCTTTTTTCTTTCATTCATTTGCTTTTAATGTATTTTTATTAAAGTTTCAAGGAGATGCTGTCACTTTGTTGAAATGGTTTGTAAAGTTTTATAAAATGGCGATGAGAGTAAATGTAGTTTTAAGAGTATGATTTTTGTTATGCACCTCCTGCCTTTTTCTTGATTTTAATTTCCTTTTTGGGGGCATAAATTAAATTGCATTTATTCATGGGTAATGCATGCATTTCATTAGAATCATGAATATTCGTGTTTTTAAAAAGTGGTAGTGATTTGCTTTTCTATGTGCCTAGGTAAATAACGCAACTGCTCGCGTCATGACAAATAAGAAGACTGTCAACCCTTATACAAATGGTAAGCTTCAGAAATGTGTCTTCCATGTTTTTCCTTTCTAATGTACTTGCAAAAAGAGTTTTTTAACCATCAGTAATTCTTAGATTTTTAATAAGTTTTTTTTAAGACAGGAAATTTATTGGTAACGTACATCGCTGTTGGCTCCAATATCCATGTAGATATATTTTATTTATGATTGTGTTGGGAGAAGATGTTCACCACTTCATTCCTGGAATGACCATCACATGGAGACAACACTCCTTCCTCCTGCACTCACACTCAGAGCAATCCCATTTAGCGGCCCATAGAAGGTGAACATCAGCTAATGAGTGTCTGATGGTGATCCTACAGCTAGATACACAATAACAATATCATCCTCCAGGACACTAGGATGACCCTTTGGAGTTTGGGAAAATGTGTCTTCATTCTACAGGAGGTTGTTGCCTGGTTGCCATATCTTTTCCCTATTCTCCACAAGCCACCGAATTGCTATGGGAAGTCACCCAACATGCAGACCTAGAAGAGGATCATAGCAGATGAAGATGATGGGTTCCTCCATATGCCATCATGAAACATTTGTGTGGTTCTTATTGTTGTTGTCTTCCTTCTCTTTTTCTCTCCTTCTTCTCATTTCCTTTTCCTGCTTCTTCTTAATCTCCTCCTCCTACTTCCCTTCTTCATCTCCTCCTCCTTCCTCTTCCCCATGTTCTGTGCCTTCAAGTCAACTATTGTTTTAGCACTATATTTTACCTAAAAGTAATTGACTCATTTAAAATTTTGTGCATTGTCTGTGGTCATTTCTTTTCTTTTTAAGATGTTCAAGTCCAATCTTGCCTTTGTTTTTCCTGTCCTAACTTTCTTCAATAAGCTTTCCAAGTCTTTCCTGTTTGCAGTTTAGGGAGTGGCCTTTCCAATTCTCAGATAAAAAGATCCTGGGCCTCCCTTAACTACAACATCCAGAATTAAAGTGGAATGTACGCTCTATATCTACTCTTTAAAGAGTAGCCAAAGCAGCAAAAATAATGTGTCCAATCCATGTGCCATGTAACTATACAATAATAAATGTGTATCTGCTCTACCTGTCCCCCCATCTTTAGCTGCAGCAACAATGTCTCTTTCCCTCATTCCCTTTCCACAGTTCTCTTGAAAGCTTTCAAATTGGACATATCAAAACTTTCCATTTGGCCCACTTCCATAACCCTTTAGCTTTCTGAAGCAAGATCTTATTTCCTTGACTCTTCTCCAGGAAAAAAGAGAGAGAGAAGAAGGAAACTTTACACAGTGGATCAATAAAGGCAGCTTTCCATACTCAACAGACGGGAGCATCACAGCTATGAAATAAAATGGACCTTATTCCCCCCCTCCTTACATTCCAGAGCTCATTAGTGAGATGGTTTCCGTCATTGAAAGTGGGGCAAAGAGAAGCAGGCGGCTTTATTTTTTAATGATTCTGTCATATTTATCTCTCCGTGCCCTGGCAAAATGAAAAATAAAATAAAATAAGAGTTCTCAGTTTGACATACAATTATTAAGCTAGTTACAGTAAATCACGGGGGAAGAAAGCTTTGAAATGCTTCCTACTTTTCTTGGGGGGTTATGGGGGAAAGAAGCTTTTATTTCCCATCCTCCCTTCTTCATGTTGATCTGAATATGTTTAGTCCAAATGAATGGCGGCTCATTCTTTCCTGAGTATTTTCTGATCATGTCATCTCTCTGAAAATCAAAACATATACTGACAGGGCCAACATCCACATGTTTTGTTGATCCAAGGAGTGTATACTTGCATGTGGATGTGCTGAGTGGCAATAATCTCCTCACTGATGTTGTAACTTCTTAACAGTGGGATTGTCTAGGGAAGGGGTGGACAAAGGTGTGGGAATGTGAGCAACTTCTCTCATGATGCCCCCACGAGCCTCATTTGGGCACATTGGAAGGCAAATCCTCATCACCTCTTGCCCCATTTTTGTCTCTTGTTCATGCTAAAAAAATTATGGTTTTTAGAGACATTGGGGTTTCTGGGTATAGATATCAAAAGCCACCTTTGTGAATGCTGAAAAACCAGTGGTGTTTAATTTTTAGGCAAATAAAGGTAAAACAGTTTTTTAATAAAATGGGGAATGTTGTTGGACATTACAGGGAGACTCAATATTGGTCCATTGACCCCAGGAATAGGCAGGGTAGTACCGTCCTGGCCATCTTGACTTGATGGGTGGACTCTACTTCTGATTAACCAATAGGACTCACACACTTTTTTTATCAGTGTGAAAACTTCTTCAAAAACTCATCTCATGTGATCAAGTTTTCCTGCATGACAAGAGTTTGGATTGGATGGCCCTTGCGGTCTCTGTTCAACTCTGTGACTGTGACTGTATGATCCAGGATTCATTCCTTTGGTTTTGTGCATGACAAGTAAGAATATAATATGACATCTAAATCCATCAGGGATATGTTCCAAACCACATGCAGCTTGTGGATACCTGAAAATATGGATATTAGCAAACCTTATATTTTGACTATACTTGGGCTGCTCGCATTCCATTGAATCTCACTGGAGGATCTAGAGAGGTCCACATACAGTTGTGGGGGAGGGTTGATGCCTGGGTAAATGAAGCTGTAGATGTTGAATCCATGGATAAAGGGGTTTTAATTTCATTTCAATGTATAGGCACTAAGCAATCCAAAATACTTCGTGCAAACCTGCTAATTGCTAGATAGGGGCAGTTTTTATTGGGTCTTCCTTTGTTCTCCTATCCAATACCCTTGAGACACAGTCACTAGTCCTGGACTGCTCATCATGCTAACCATGTACTCTGCTGTTGAGCTCTAGACTCACTTCCTTTGCTCTCCTGTTCCACACTCCTTTTGTAGGCTTCAGATCCAGGCCCTAGACTTAAACTGTTCAGCATGCTAAACATGTACTCTGTGGCTGAGCCATAGACTCCCTTCCATCCGTCGCTCCTGGTCTGTGCCTGCATGAGGGATCTCTCCCTCCCCCTTTCTCTAAAAGTTTCAACCTGAAGATCTGGCTGTTGTGACAGCAAGACAAATTCACAGCATTACACCCACCGTGGCAAATTTACCTCTTCCAACCGCTAACACAGGGTTCCTTGGCAGTTCCTCACTCGTATATGTCAAGCTTCTCCTCACACTTGATTAACCCACACAGTTATGGGCCAGCACATATCTCATTGACAAGACAAAGTAAAGTTTAATTGCTGTTATTTTCATGATGAATGAAGTCTTTGCTGTGTGAGCTTCGCCAAGTTAGATGATACAGCCATCAAAACGGGAGGGCAAAGGAAATGAAATATGAGAGCGATTTTCATCGATCTGCATCTCCCGGCATACCATTCGCCTCCCCCCCCCCCAAACTCTCTTTTCTTGTACAAATTGAGGCACCATTAGTAAAACTTAAAATCAGAAGGTATATTCCAACCTTTTGACAGAAAAGGCTGACAGATGTGAGAAATTAGSTTATATCGCTCTTATGTTGGACTACAGAGATGGGAAGAAAGATAATCAAGGCATTACATAGAATTAGGCTTCCTGTAATTGGATATTTTAATGAATGAAGCACTGAGATCATATGGGATTTTAAAGACGGTTGATGGGTGGAAACCAACTTTTCCATGAATGTATTATGGCTATAATATGGTTGTTTATGTCACTTGGTTTGCTGGCCTTCATGTCTGCTCTTGGCTTTCCTGAATTGTTCACTTTTTGCATTTGCCTTTCTGTATTGGGACACTTTTTCTGGTTAGTAAGCAGTCTGGGCTAGTTGACCCAGAACTGTGAAAATAATACTTTAAATGGCAGCACATAAGCCATTTCTCTATTGTTCTTGTTGTTTTGTGCCTTCCAATTGTTTCTGACTTATGGCAACCTAAAGATGAAGGTATTATAGGATTTTTCTGGGACTCAGCTGAGGTCATCCAATGAGTTTCTATGGCCAAGTCAGTGAATTGAAACCTAGTCTCCAAAGCAGTGGTTCTCAACCTGTGGGTCACCAGATGTTTTGGCCTTCAACTCTCAGAAATTCTAACAGCTGGTAAACTAGCTGGGATTTCTGGGAGCTGTAGGCCAAAGCACCTGGGGAGCCACTGCTCCAAAGCTTTATTACAATACCCTAAACTAGTTCTCAAACCATTACATCAAGTTGGCTTTCAAAACTTGAACAGTCCTGAAGATCTCAAAATTTGCACAATAAGCCACGGTTGAATTGAAGACACATGGCAGCTGAGAGAAAACATACTATACTTTTTAAGGGCTGGGCAAGTGCTCTGCAAACATAAGCATCTCTGAATGCTGAGTATTCTTTTTGAAAACAAAATCACTATCTTGTAAGACATCTATTCAGAAGGGAGTTAACGCAACATAATGGAGCAAAGAAGAAATCATTTTGCCCTTGACAAGAAAGGTTGCCTTGACACATTGAGAGATCTTGTCAAGAATATCCTTCAAATACCAAAAGATGCTTCTTATTTTGGGACTTTTTTAGGAATACATTCACTCGCTCAGTAAACTTGTGTGCCAAATACTTGGGCTTAGACAAAAAAAAAGAGGAACCCTTTTTTGTGTAGCAAACAGTGGATCTTATACAAAAACATACTGTTTCACATGCTATAATGTTTTTTTCCACATTTTTTGCAATGAGTATGAAAAATTATTTGAGAAGTAATGAAAATTCCCATAATCTCATCTAGTGGAGAGGGAAGTTGTGAAATCGTTTGCTCTTACATGTAAAATGAATTAAGTGGTTGCATTTCCATCCATAGTATCACCCTTTAAATGTGGACAGAAATCTATTGTCATTATAAATATCAATATTCAAACAATACATTATGCCTATGACCCTGGCTCAGATTTGTTTTTATATGCTTTCTATAGGTTGGAAATTAAATCCAGTTGTGGGTGCAGTCTATAGTCCAGAATTCTATGCAGGTAAGCATGTATTGTGTATTTAGTTGCTTACCAGAGCACTATGGAACACGTTTCCTCTCAACTGCTAATATTTTCCCTTTCAACAAAGAATTTTATAGTTTTGAGGGATTTTAACTATTTTAATACTTCTATATTTAATTCTGTTGTAGAGTTAATATTTTGTAAGTTTTTAAATTGTTAGTTGTATTGTTTTAGTGTTAGCCACAACGAATCTCCTTTAGGAGTAGAAATTGAGATAATTTATAACTATTTTGCCATAATATAACATTTATAATAATAGCTGTATTTTATTGCTTCCCATCACTTCATTGATGTTTTTGGTGAAGCTGACATTACTAAATTACACTACTGAGCTCAAGAAATAAGTGCAAACAAGGCCTCATCCTAGGACTCCTTTTGCTCAAGTGGTTAGCTTCCTAATCTCAACCTTATGTGTAGAACCATATGTTTTTGAAGACAGGCCTATCAAAAATACATTCAGTTTCATGCTTCACAATGTCATGTAGCATGAGGTCCATGTTTTGTGCTGTTTTGCAAACAAAGCAGCATTTTCTGTGCAGAAAATGATACTTCTGTGAAAATACTTTTTTATGTGCAGTGGGTGTTCTAATAGCATTATGCTTTAGGCATATGATCCTTTGTGATCATTGACCATCAGGGCAAATTGTGCATCAAAATCATTGCTTTGCAGCCAAACTTCTGTCTCCTCTTGACCTGGGATCCTAATGGAGAACTTGAACATTGCACAACATCATGACTTAATTTCTCACAAGTCAGTTTATGGGGTTTATGTAAGTCAGTTTATGTAAGTCTGTTTATGGTGACGTAATTCCCCAATCGGATAGTCACTATGGTTTGTAAAACTGAGTGTAAAACACTGAAATGGAATGCAGTATGACCCCCATAATCATGGGAAATATGTTCCTGGACTTCGCATTGATACATTAAAATGCAAATAATATTGAACTCTATTATGTCCCATGAGACAAACAATGGAGGTCCCAGGATGAGAATATAGCTTCTACAAGATGTCATCAGTGAAAAAGTGAAATAATGGACAAGTGAAATAACGTATTTTGGTTCTGCAGTACGACTCATATATACTTCTGAATACAAAAGTATTGCTTCCATGATGGCTAAGTAACTACCATTGCTACATCTTTCTTCCATGACTTAAAAGGACTCAGAGCTATGTCTCCTTCAATCTTCAGCTTTAATTACATTTCTGCTGAGATCAGGACAGCAACTTTATTAAGGTCTACTAAGTACCCATCCAGGGCCTTCTTGAAGGGATAAATCAGAGGCACTGGTGGCTCAATACAAATGACTTTTTGTTAATGATAGATATTATAATATGCCCATAGTATTCTCATTGATTTCTTTCTAGAATTAACTACCTAGCTTCTAATTGCCCTCAAAGAGTAGGACATGTGGAGTTCACACTTTTTGTACATTAAAATCAATATTTTCAATTTCCCTAGAAGGTGATTTCCTTAATTTACTGAACTTTACTTTAACATTTATTTTGTTTCTTAATTATGAAATGGCAGGTTATCGATTTGGGCATGCAATCTTATGGAGTTGCCATCACAATTTGATAGCCAACCCTGGGGTGAGAAATTTGGCCTTCTTATTGCAAATCTTTAGTTACCATTAGGATGGTATTAATTTCGCAGCATGATTTAGAGCACCTTACCTGACCAACAAAGAATGCATTGCTTGCAAATGATAGTGTTCTGTTTACTAATATTTATCTAAAATTCAGGCAGGAGTTATGTCTAAGATGAAACTATGGGCCTAGTTTTGTCTCCATTGAGACAAGTTTTTCAGAGCATCTTCCATTATTTAGGGATTTGTAAAGCTCATTGAAAATACATTTGTTTTATTTTGATACATCATGCCATTAGTTTCCTTCTTCTTAGCCTTCACTGTTTTTTAATCTAATTTCCCCACATTGGATGTGTAATCTGGCTGGGACAACCCATAGGACATCATCACATTAGACATGTTAGCTTGATATAATGGCAGAAATTATATCCATTTGATTAAACAGTACTGAGGGCAAATGAGGGCAAGGTCAGTGCAAGCAAAACTGAGAAATGGTGCTGAGAAACAGAAATTGTTAGGGAATAAAGGAATATTCTGCATATTCCACATGTTTCAAATTCAAAGCCCATGGGCATAATCCAACCCATGATGTTATTTTATGTGACCCTCAGATTTTGGACTACAACTCCTGTATTTCTCATCAATAGAGCTGATGGGAGTTGGGATACATACAAGGCTTGTGGATGGGGTGACTGATGTTAAAATGTCTTCAAAACCTCAAATGCTGTTGGGATGCAGTTCTCCTTATCTCCAGTCCACATGGTGGATAATCCAAAATGTCGGGAGTTGTTTTTGTCCTAAGTTGGGTAAAAACTAAAGAGCACTGAATGCTCTGGGAAAAAAAAGGGTAGTTGGCCCACAATATCCACAGATTCCTCATACATTTATTTATTTACTGGCTTGCTTGCTTTATTTCTACCCTGCTCCATCTCACCCTGAGGGAGATTCAGAGCAGCTTCCAATTATGGCAAACATTCAATGCCGCAAATATACAAAGATCAAACAAAACATAAATAATTAGCAATTAAAATCAATTAAACATATAAATACAAATTAAAAACCAATTAAAACATGTGAAACATATAAAACATAGCACCAGCCCTGAATTGCTATCCAGATTACTTCTTTCTTCTTAAGTCAGTTTGTAAGAGTCTATTGCACTTTAATTTCTAATTTTATACACTGTAGAATGTTGTCTGTCATTCCGTTATATTTTTTGTTATTATTTTGTTGATATGCATTTTAATGTGTTACTTACAACTGTTCTGTTGGGCTTGATCTCATGTAAGCCACCCTGAGTCCCTTTGGGGAGATGGAGGTTAGGTATAAAAATAAAGTTGTTGTTGTTGTTGTTGTTGTTATTTTACTGACACAAAAACGAGATATATATGCTGGATTTCATATCACAAAATCACAAGTCGAACACTTCCCAAGTGTCTAGGACTGTGTGATGTATTTTTGAATGATGCACGCAGATCCAAGTAAGATCCAAGTTATTATTTATTATTTCTACTTGCTAAATGTGTGGTTCCACAGCCAGCATTTCCCTTTCCTCTGAAAGACCAGGAGGGAGGAGGCCAATCTAACGTCACTGGGAGGGAATTCCACAGCCTAGGGGCCACCACTGAAAAAGCCCTGTCTCTCGTCCCCACCAGTCATGCCTGTGAAGGAGGTGGGACCAAGAGCAGGGCCTCTCCTTAACACTTGACCTGCTCATAGAGGGAGATATATTTGGACATATCAACATCCCTTTGAAGGCAACCATAAGGCCAGTATGTCCCTCAATTAAAATGAGTTTGACACCTTCGTTCTATACTAACGATGAGAATATTAATTTTTTTTGCCTACTGTATCCAATATTTCTATCCTGAAGTCTATTTCTGCCTTCTCACTTCCCCTTGGATACCAAAATCCATGGATGCTCAATCCCCATGATATACAATGGCATTGTAATATGGCATTTTGTACCTAAAATTGCTTTTGGGAAATATATTTTAAAATATTTTCATGCCATGCATGCAGACTATCTGGATTTGGAGGGCCAACTATATGAGATATATATTATTATTTTTTGGGGGAAATGATTACAACACACAAAATGACTGCATCATGCAACGAGGACCTCTGGATTCTTCTGAGAGGCTCAATATATGACTTTTTTTTTGCATCAGGAGCGACTTGAGCAGGGGTTCTCAAACTATTTAAACAGAGGGCTAGGTCATAGTCTCTCAAACTGTTGGAGGGCTGGATTATAATTTGAAAAAAATGAATGAATTCCTATGCACACTGCATGTATCTTATTTGTAGTGCAAAAAACACTTAAAACAATATAATGAAGAACAATTTTAACAAATATAAACTTAGTATTTCAATGGGAAGTGTGGGCCTGCTTTTGGCTGATGAGATAGGATTGTTGTTGTTGTTGTTGTTGTTGTTGTGTGCTTTCAAGTCATTTCAGACTTAGGTTGACCCTGAGTGAAGGCAGGGTAAATGGCCTTGGAGGGCCGTATCTGGCCCTCGGGCCTTAGTTTGAGGACCCCTGAACTTGAGAAACTGCAAATCGCTTCTGGTGTGTTAGAACTGGCCATCTGCAAGGACGTTTGCCCATGGGATGCCTGGATGCTTTACCATCCCATGGGATGCTTTTCTCATATCCTCGCTTGAGAAGCTAGAGCTGACAGATGGGAACTCACCCTGCTCCCTGGATTTGAACTGCCAACCTTTCAGTCAGCAGTCCTGCCAGCAGAAGGATTTAACCAATTGTGTCAATGGATATGATGCAATCATTTCATCTCTGGTCAAAGTATATAGCCCAGGTACTTCTCCAACCTCTCATTGAACTGACCAGAAGGGTTGTGTGTTTGTGTGTGTCTATGTGTAGGCATAGGGACTCTACAGTAGGTCCAAGGGGGCTTTGGTTACTGCTGAGAAAGGAGTACCAATCTTTGCATCAACCATGAAGGGATATAAATAGATGCATGGCTGGCTTATATCTTCATAGACCAGTAACTGGACACCAACCAAGGCAGTCAAAAGCAGAATGAGATGCAAGGGAAAGAAAAAGAAGGTCCAATAGTTTTCTATTTAACTTCATGTATTTTGGATTGCTGCATTGTTGCTGCTGTTTTTAAAAAAATACATGAAAAATTCAAACTACTTCATAGTTAGGGTAAAGGGGCTTTCTTTTGAGCTAGTAAATGATGAAAAATTTGGCCACTTTGGAAATAAAGATGATGTATCTGTGGAGAAACTGTTGATTTAAAATATCTTTAATCTTGATAAATAAGTTTTTTAAAAGGGAGAGAGAGGAGAAGGTTATACAAAGCTGTCAGGATGGCACTGATGGATGGCAAATTCACCCATTTCTCAATTGCCGGTGAAGACACACACCA